TTGGGGGGGGCAAGGGGCAAAGGTCTCAACTTGGACCCATACCCCATCATTCCCCCCTCAAACAAATGGGACCCAAATTCTTTTGGGGCAAGGAGTAAAGGTCTCGGCTTTTGAAACTGCTTCCTGCCGGCAAGGGGCGTAGAGCTGTCCCTGCCTAGCTGGGTGCCATTCCAAAGGATCGGACTTCAGAATCTGGCTGATACCAAGTTCAGTGGGGTAGAGACCTCGGACTCGATCAGAGGTTGGTCAGTCATCCCAATTACCATTCTTTCAGTAGTAAGTTTTTAAATGATGTCAGCAAGCACCACTCAGTGAGAAGCCTTCAAGAGTTCAGTTGCCTGGATGAGAACAGTCTGAAACATGATTGAGCCTGTTATAAATTCTATCTGAAACTTCTAATCATCTTTTTTAAACCCTGAAGGTTCATGCTAATCCTAACAGAAGTTTTGATAAAACAGCGTAATAAAACTTTTTCCCTTTTCTTTCCCCTGACATGCCAGTACTGCTACATACATGTATATGTATACCTATGTATATCAATGCATGTGTATTGTGTTTATAGTATACATGATATACATGTACATATACCTTTGACCACTCACAACTATTGTAATGGGTGATAATGGGTAATTAGAATACATCCTTAGATTGCTACTCTTCTTTTTTTATTGCTGTCATTCTTTTTCTTGGTTTTGATTAAAAATGCCTGCAGTAAGACCAGTCATGATTACAGAAGATGGATGATGATGATGATGATGATTATGATAACAAATGCAAAAACAATGTATGTGTATGCTAGGTGACACAGTAGATCATTTTCCTGAGTTCAAATCTGGCCTGTGTGACCAGGGGCAAATCACTTAACCCTCTTTGTCTTGGTTTCCTCATCTGTAAAATGATCTGGAGAAGGAAATGGCAAACCAGTCCATTATCTTTGCCAAGAAAGCCCCAATGGGGTCATGAACACTTAGATACAACAGCAACTAACAAGCAAACAAAATATACACACACATATACGTATATATTGCTTTATATACAGATATGTTGCCTACATACAAATACATATATTTTGCTTTAAGGTTTGCAAAACACTCTATAAAAATTATTTTATCCTCACAACAGCCTCAGGAGGTAGGTACTGTTATTATCCCCATTTTACAGATTAGACAACTGAAGCTGACAGAGGTTAAGTGACTCACATAGCTGATAAGTGTCTGAGGCTGGATATAAACTCAGAAAAAATATGCTTCACCTCTTAACAAAGAGTACTTAGTAGAAATGAACTAGTGGTGCACAATGAGATTTTCAGATTAATTTTAAATTCAGATAAATTTTCAGATATGTCCCGTATATGAATTTGTTTTGTTTGATCATATGTATTTATTTAAAAAGCAGAGCTTTTGTTTGTTTTTTTTAAGAGGGGGTGCAGTGAGTTATGATAGCTAATGATAGTGATGCAAAACAGAAAGGGGAAAAGAAAGACAAGAGAGATGATGAAACGTTAAAGAAATAAACAAGACAGAGCAGAAAGATAGGCAGAGTGGTGTAGGTATCATGTTGAATCTAATAGATGCTTTCTAAAGAAAAACAAGATGTGCATATGGGAGACTCGTGATTTCACATAGAGACCGCTTTTTCTGTGGTTTGCCCATGAAATATTCATGTATTGATAGTAAGGGTCATAACAATTTTTTAAAAGAATTCATTCGATAGCTCTTGGTACTCATTAGCTCCAGAATCAGAGGACCTTGGTTCACATTTCACCTCTTACTTCCTATGTGACCTTGGACAAATCACTTAACCTCCCAAGGCCTCAGTTTCCTCATCTATAAAACATAGGGTTTGGCCACAAATTGTCCTTAGGTGTCCCTTCAAGATCTGTGTCTGTGGTCCTATTACTTATGTGACCTTGGACAAATCACTTAACCTAGACTTTTTTATTTTTCATTCATGTCCAACTGTTTGTTACTCCATTTGAAGTTTTTCTTGGCAAAGATACTAGAATGGTTTGCCGTTTCCTTCAGCTCATTTTACAAATGAGGCAAACAGGGTTTGCCCAGGGTCACACAAATAGTAAGTGTCTGAGGCTAAATTTGAATTCAAGTTCTCCTGACTCCAGGCCCAGTGCTCGTATCTACTGCACCACCTAACTGGCCCTGCCACAAAGTAGACTAGGTGATTGCTAAAGGCTCATCTTGACTTGAATCTCATGGTCCACAATCTAGGTCGATCAAATTCATTTGAATATATGTGTGTTGCACAGGCTATGAATGCACATGTAGAAACACTGACTTATTGCAAATAATTTTAGAGTCAAGCTAACTATTCAGCTGCCGTGCTTGCATTGCCACACAGATGCATGCACAAATGGCTAGCACCTCTTCCTTCTTCATGGTGCCTCTTCCTCTTCCTACAGCTCTCTATTTCACATTATAAGACAATCTCTGTCTTAGTGTGCACAAAGGCATTCTGTCAAAATGCAGATGCCTATGGACTCTGAATAGAAACAAGAAGTAGAGTGTAGCTCGGGTATTAACCAGATTCTGACTTAGGAAAGATCTGAATCAGGTGAATGAATTCTCATTTTCCTGTGAGCATATACACATATATGGTTATCATAATTTGTGGACATAGGCTGGAATGATTATACTCCATTGCTTCAAAGAATCTCTGGTCTCATCAGTGTGGGTACCCCCAAAAATGTAGAACACAATCCACAGAAGTTCTACCCATCTGATGCTACTCTGCCATGCCATCCTATAAATCCAGCATAGAGGGTCCACCCAGCTTTTGGGGGCCTTTGTTTGGATTCCCTTGCCATCATGTGAACACCAGGAAAACACAGGAGCAGGCTGTCTGTCTCTTGCGTTTGCTACCTAACCAGACCATCTTTTTTTCTTGTTATATGTTTCTCTGAAGGTGCTCTTCATTTTTTCCAATTTAAAAAAAACATTTTTATTTAAAGTTTTAAGTTCCAAATTCTATCCTTCCCTCTTCCCTGAGACAGTAAGCAGTCAGATATAAATCATATGTGTACAATTATCCCATACTTCTTTAACCAAGTGTTTCCTGGTTTTTGCTTGAGGTGATTTGGATTTCTCTTGATTCAGGTACTTGGCATCAGCTATGATGTAGGTCAGGTCCGTCTTAGCAGATTTGGTCATATTAATCATGTATTGATATTGTTCCTCCACTCTTCAGAAATAAAAATAACAGTATTGTCTGCCTCAAAGACTAGAGGGGAGTGCAGTGAATTTCGGTCACTGCAGTGCTCAGTGGCTTAACTAGATGTGTTAATCATTTGCTCATTTGTTTATTCAACAAACACTGATTATGCACCAATTCTGTGTAGAATTGTCCTAGGCACTCAAATCTGGAAAATTTTGGTAAGACATAATCCTAAATTCATAGATATAGAGCTAAAGGGATCTCAGATACCCTGGCACATAGTAGGTGCTTAATAAATATTGATTGATTGATTGACTGATCTAGTCCAAGCCTCTCATTTTATAAATGAGGAACCTGAGACCCAGAGAGTCTTTGGGTGACTTATCCAAGTAACTTATCCAAGGTCAATGGGTAATATGTATCAGAAGCTAGATTAGATGTTTCATCCCTATCCTGTGACTCTGGAGTCAATACTCTTTCCACTGTACCATATCCCCTCCTGCCTTCATGCAGACTTATCTATTGATAAGCAAACATCACTCTTAATACACAATATTAGTGCATGTACAAGTTCAGTATATTAGAGCATTGAAAAATATATTGCTGTGTGAACTCTAAGGGAGATCAGGGAACAATTAATGGAAGCAGTCATTTTGAGGTAAGCTTCAAAGGTTATGTAAGAACCTTTATTTGTTGAATAAAAAACTAGAATTAAATTAAAAAGGAAGAGGGAAGACATATCAAGCATAGGGCGCAGCATGAACAAAGATACGAAGGCACAGGAAAGTGAGGTGTTCTGGCAGAGAAGGGAAATCAGGCATCTAGTTTGACTAGAGCATTGTGGGGGAGTGATATGAATTATAGCTGGAAAGTCTGGTGGTGGCAGAAAGGTTATTGTGGCATTCATGTGGAACATGGTTTTAAGCAGGGAGAGAGAGTAGGAGTAGGATCTGTAGATAGGCTATTGGAATAGTATAGGCAGGTGGTCATGAGGGGCGGTACTATGGTAGCAGCAATGGGAAGTACAGAGGAGAGAAAGGATTTGACAGTTGTTGCCAAGCTGACATGGACTGAACTTGGTAACTGATTGCATGTGAGAGGGGAAGGGAGAGTCAAAGATAAGCCCAGAGCTTCAAATATGAGAGGCCAGGTCAGTGGCAGTACCTCACACAGAGAGAAATGAAAAACAGAACAGACTTAGAAGAAAAGATTTAAAAATTCCATTTTGAATATGTTGAGTTTGAAGTATAGCAGTGAGATAGCCAGTTTGAGATCCCCTCTAGTGGAAAAAGCATTGTGTCTGGGGTCAGAGAAACATGGTTCAAATTCTCTTTGATGCTTACTTCTTTGGTGACTTTTCATCTCCATGGGCTTTAGTTTACTCGTCTATAAAATGAGAGTTGAACTGAATGCTCTCAGATTCTTGCCATCACGAGTTCTATGATCTTATGTTTCTGTGATAAACAGCTGGGAGTTTAGATCTAGAAATCATTAGTGTATATAGGTGTGGTGCAATCCCTTCCAAACACAATTGCCTTGTTCATTTTATTAAAACTCCTGAGTACCCCAATTGACTTTAGTGGGCTAAAGTCAATTGAGTATCCATACACGGCTAGCCACCAGTTAGGTGAGCCCTGAGTAGTAGAGAGGTCCCAGGTTGCCTAATGGGGGCAAATCAGCCCCAGTTTGAAAGAGAGCAGGTAAAATCTTCCATGGTAATCTGCATTGAGATGAGGCATGTATAACTAGCCACAGTGCTTCCAGCCTGATTGAAATAAGGAAACCCAGGTTCAAAAAAAATCCTAATTATATCTCTCATTCTTCTTTTTCAGAAAGAGATGACCAGCAGGATGTGTCACTAAAGAGCCATCCATCATAAGGAGGAATGCAATTTCCTCAGGGGGCTGAATAGGAGCATGAAGTGGACCTTTCAGAAACTGAAATAACTTGTTGATTCCCAGGAGGTTGGGCACTGGCAGTGATTTTTCTCCGCCATGCTTCCCATCCACTGTGTATGCTCTTAACCCTCGGAGTGCTGCTAGCAATATTCTGTTGACCGGGTGTATTACAAAGCAAAGCAAAGAAAGAGAAAGCTTCCATTTATTTTTCTGGTTCAAGAACTCTCCAGAATGAAGCCTCTGCAGTTACAGACTCTTAACAGTTCAGTACATGTTCCAGTTGTTTCAGCTTTACTGGAATTCAGGTCTTGAGACTGAGATACATATTTGTACTTTTCCCCCCCACTGACTAGACCAGTTGTCAACTGGTCATTTTTTCCTGTGTTTTATTTTCTAAGTACAGTGTGAATTTGAGAACTCTGGATCCTCAACAGGTTTTTTTTTTCTATTAACAAGTTTTACATTCTATAAAGTCCTATCATGATCCTGTATAATATTTTGAAATTCCATACATTAAACTCTTGATAAATCTATCAGAGAGCAAAAGCATAACTTGCTTTTATGGGTCTGCTGCTTATGAGGTCCTACTCCATTTTCAAATAGTGTCTTTATATTATAACTAGAGGAAGTTCAAACACCACCTTCTGCAAGTGACTTTTGCTGATGCCTCCCAGCTACTAGTGCCTTCCCCCTTTTTCACCCCATCCATACCCCTACACAAAATGTTACCCTTTATCTGTTTTGTATATACTTATATATGTCTGTATTGTCTTTCCTGTTAGAATGTAAACTCTTTGAGGGCAGGGACTCTTGTTTTTTTTGTTTTTTGGGGTTTTTTTTGGATTTGTGTCCCCAGACCTTTACACAGTACCTGGCACATAGTTGGTGCTTAAGAAATGCTTGTGGGTTGATTGATTGAGTCATAATTTCCCAGAATAAGGTTTGCCAAAGCATTGGCTAAGTTCTTGAGTGACTTTGGTTATAGTATGCATTCAATTAAACATTTATCCAGTGTCTACTACATGCAAGACACTGTACTAAGCCTTGGGGATACAACAACAGGAAATTAAAAGAGCACCTGTCCTCAAGGAATTTTTTTTCTATTGGAGGATACACCATGGACACAAATAAGGAAATTCAAAGTATATACAAAGTAATCTGCAAGAAGTAGAGTGTGCTAATTAATTGTTGGGGGCAGGGGATAGAGAGGGGTCAGGAAAACTCATGTATTTTGCACTCTCCTTTACTCCCTTACTCTTTATCTCTTCCATTCGGAAAATTCTTCCTTTTGTTAGAAGGGACACAAATGGAAACTCTGAATTACAACTGGGCAATTCAGTGGTGAGAGAAGGCAGTCACCCACCTTTTATATGGGATTATGTGAACAAAACATTCAGTTGGTAGACTTTTAGCCTCAGCCTGTGGTACATCACACAAGTCTATATCTACTTTCTCTTTCTTATAGTGCCTGCAACACTGTATTGCAAAATATCGTGGCCTACAAGGTACATAGTATTTCAGCCTCATACTGTGCCATGTTGTCCAAAGACACAGTATAGCTCTTATTTCTGCATCTAGTCTCTTCCCACTTTTCTTTTCATTTGACAGTCCCTATGATATATTCTGTGCTGGTTTATATAATCACAGAATTTCAGAGTTGGAAGAGACCTCAGTGACCATCTTGTCTAGCTCATCCCTGAAAAATAATGTCCACCATAAGAGAGTAATCTTTTAAAAAAAATTATACAGGATTTTGGTAGATGAAGTATTCATTTTGTCTTTTTACCCATGGTCCTAACAGGCTCTAGTCTGGGACATCCATTTACTTCATGTTGATTTGAATTTCACAAAATATCAGTTTGTGAAAAATAACCAGAAGAATAAGATTATCAAAATGGATATTTTAATGCAATTTTTTAATTAAAGTATAAATACAAATAGATCAGAAGAAATAAAATTATGCATCCACACGGACTAAGGGCTAGACTTTTGAACCCCATAGCATTCAGTGTTGGGTCAACCAAGAAGACCTACCTTTGCTTTGGAAGAGGGTGTAATTTGACTCTTTTTAAAGGCCCCAGATGCTTCTATCTCTCTCTATACTCTTGGTATTCAGTTTTATTAGATCACTGACAAACATGCCTCTCTACTGTGTACCTGTGTCCCTATATGGAGAGAAAAACAAAGATCAACTATGTTGATCTATCTTAAGCATCATTTTTGGTCAGGAATCCATAGAGAAAATATCCCAAAGATTCAAAGAAAAAAATAAGTAGAACCATCTTCAGACCTATGCAATATAACAAAACCTTTATGAAACACAAATAAAATATAAATCTTGGTGAGTCTTCTTCTCAAAACCTTGTTGTGTCTTTGAAAAACTTAAAAATATTGGTTTTGAAATCAAAATCATGAGTTTTCCTATGTTTCACTGATGCCACTTAGTATGCTATTTGTGCCTAATTTTGTAGAAGTTGGAAATCTGAATTTGTTAACAAATCTTTTTAATACTGTTTTTAACTATTTCTGCATATGAAATTTCTGCTCAACTTTTTTTTAAGTAGCTTTGTGAGTTTTTTTTCCTCTTGGTACAGTTTTCCTCTAGCTGTACATCCTCCTAATTGCACTAATGAACTATTCTAAGGTGTGTGTGTTTTGTTTTGTTTTGTTTTTTACAAAATATTGTGGGTTTGTGTTTGTGTTTTGTTTTGATTTTTGTTGTTTTAGTTATAAACTGGATCTGTAAGATTTTGTTTAGCAAATTCCAGAAAGAAACTATTAGGCAATTTTGACCACTTTTTGTTGGCCTGACTGTATAACGTACATGTGTATGTGAAAGGAAAGGAAATAAAGTGGATGAAAACCCTAAAGAGAACAGCATAATCCTTTAACTCTTGGCCTAGCATGAGGCCTCCCTGCTTTGGGAAAAGATGATATAAATATGGACTTCATTCCTGGCTTTTATTGTGCTTTATTATGTCATTGACTAACATCACTGTGACAGTTGGATGAGAGTTCTAAATGAAAAAAGAGGATGCAAAGTAATTAACCCAAGAGTTTTGGATATGCAATACTAGATAACATGCCCCAGTTCATAGTAAATTTAATGATCTCTTTATTATAATCTATTTTGTTCATGTTCCTTGATGTGTTCAGGAATATTAGGTGCCATTTCAATGGATGTCAATTCTAACATTCCATTTAACTGAAAGATGAAGAAGATAGAATTCCCTTACAGGAAAGATTTGAGTCAATTTCTGTGGTGCATTTGAATTTTCCATTTGCGTTGTAATTTAACCAGATATAAAATATGTGCACTTCTCTTATTTTACTTATCTCATGTTCTTACACTTAGGTCCTCATGGTTTGTTAATCTAGCCCTTGCTACTGCTTTTTTTGCCTTAAAGAACCTCTTCACCTTGTATTCTCTCAGGACTACAGATACTTGTCTTAGAAAAAGTGGGTAAAAGGGACATTTAGAAGCCATCTGGTCCATTCCTCCTACTCTGCAGGCAGAACAATACAATGAATGAAAACTATTCTATTTTTAAAGACCTTCAAACAAGGAAATTCTACAACTCCTTTGGGTAGTTTGCCCTAGGCTTCAAGAATTGTTGAAATACTTCTGAAATACAACTCATGTAAATCAGGTATGCTTCAGGTTAAACACAGTTTCCACCCCCCACCCCCCAACCCCCACCCCAATTGTGTTCTGAATGGAGATCAAGGATAACAGTATATTTTATACTAGGGCCCTTCATATGGGTAAAGGCTATTATGGAATTGCCCTTTAGCCTTCTCATCTTCAGACTGAATAATCCATTCCTTGAACATTCTTTCCTAGGTCTTTTTTGTTGTTGTTTGGTTTTTTAATGGACCTCTGATTTAACCCATGTGAGGAATCCTTGGTGTGGAAACTCCACCAATGCCAATTAGCAACTAACATGTATGTAAGCCTTTAAGGTTTACAAAGCATTCTTTTGCAAATATTATCTACTAAGAGTTTAAGTACCTTAACGATATTCACATTGCAAGTTTAGGACTTGAACCCAGGTCCTCCTGACTCCAAGTCCTTCTCTTGATCCCATATGTCATGCTGCCCCTCTAGCTCCTACTATACTTCCTTAATCATCTTTGTAATTCTCTTGGAAATTTTCTAACATTCTCTGTTTCCCCATGGAGTTATAAAGACCAAAAGCAGACACAGTGCACTGACCAATAATGACCATACTAGAAGGATTATCTCATAATTCTCCTTTATTACACACCAACATAAGCTGCACTACTCACTTCCTGGCCCATCCATGATACAGTATGAGGCCTGGATCTTATATTACCATGCCTGCACATAAGCAATTCTTAGCTTAATTATTTATGCTTTGTCTTTTCAAGGACTTTGAGCATGACATCACTGAATCCATTTTGTATCTGACCACTTTTAAAAATTTACTAAAGTTTTTTTAATTCTGATACAGGATTCTATTCCAGTTCATCTGCACCTACTCCTAGATAGCAGTCTCTACAAACATAATCTCTATTCTGTATCCATGTCATTGAAAAAGTATTCAAATGGAAATAGCACTGACACCCTAGGGCTAAGGTTTCAAACATAGCACCCCCCCCAAGTTCAGCCAAATCAAATTAAAATATGATTGGGAAATATTAAATAAAATAAATGTAAATACAATCAAACATAGATAATGTTAGTATATGGTCTAAGTGAATATGCCACCCACCCCCATTTCTATTTGAGTTTGACACCATTGCACTAGGGAGTATTACTTGTTGCATGCTTCTCCTCTCTGCTTTCAGCTCTCCCTTTCACCATCCTGCAAGCTCCATTGATATTCTCTAGAAATGATTTTCAAGCCACTTGTATTCTCTCTAATAATTTAGACCCCTTCCTAATGTGATTACTTTATATATCATGTGAACTAAAAGTAAAAGACAGGATGGATATCTGTTACTTCATCCTGAGGAACCATCTGATAAGAATTTTACCTCTTAAGATGCCTGTAATAGGGTGAATCAGGTGGTTTGAAGGGCACTACCTAAAGATGGCCTTTATAAATAATCAACTAAAATAAAACTTCCTCCATATAAAATATATTCTAATACTGTTGGGATTTTTTTAAAAAACATGTTGTTGTTCTACTGAGCAGTAATAGAGATAAGAAAGCAGTGTGTTAGAAATAGGCTCCCACCTTTAGGAATAGGATTCTAGGGGCAGAAGAGAGGGAATAGCACCAAGCCAGAAATTAGTGGTATAGATTAATATACAAAAAATGACATTTACTGGGCAAGAGATATCAGAGGAAATGTAGGACCATTTTCCCTCCTGTGAAGTTAATGGCACAGTGATCAAAGGGAGTCCCAAGTAAGACTTTTGTCATGTCAAATAATTTCCACTTTAACCCTTTTGCTCTTGTTGAAAGATATGATGCTATTCTGGATTTAGCCAAACAGAGTTGACTTTTTTTGATTGGTGGGTTTTTTAAGTTCCTGCTTAAAAAAAAAAACCCAGATAAATTTAAGTTTTATAATAGGATGTTCTTCTCTGGACTTTAATTAGTTCTGGGTAAGATTTTTCCACTGAATAGATAGATTTTTGTAATTTTTAGAAGAGTGAGCCAGTTTCTAATGAAGCAGTTATTTTGTTTGACTACTTTTTAGTCTTCAAACTTCTCATTTGCCCAGTATCTTTTTTAGCAATATCCAAGAAAACATTTTTAGAATATTGTAGCTGTCTGTGATTAGACAAGGGTTTTAATGTTAGAAAGCAGACTAACATCATTGTCAGAATTGAAAAATTGGGTAAAATGGAAAGGTAGTTGTGAAATCAATTCTCATTTGTGAACATGATAAATTCAAATGACACAAATAAAAGACTTATAACCTGTACTGTATTGTGTGTTCTTTTCAAAATCATCCATGTCTTCAACAGTTCTACCAACATTTTAAATTAATTGTTTTGTACTAATAAGCATTTACTCCCACTCAAAAAAGAAAAAAAAAACCCCAAAATCCCTAATAACAAATATGCATAGTCAAAACAAATTCCTACATTGGCTGTGTATAAATTGTGTCTCATTCTACATTAGTACATCACCTCTCTGTCATGAATGAGTTGGACAGCAATCTTCATCATCAGTCTTCTTCAACCATGGCTGGCCATTGATCCAAAAATGAGAGTTAAGTCTCTCAAAGTTGTTTGTCATTACAGTGTCATATTATGGTATAAATTGGTGTTGGTTATATAAATTGGTTCTGGTTCAAGTCACTTCATTCTGAATCAATTCATACAAATTTTCCCAACTTTCTTTGAAACTGACATTTCATTTCTTTTAGCAAAAACAGTGTTCTATTACATTCATATACCAAATTTTTTTTAGCCATACCCTACTTGATGGGCATTTTTTAGTTTCTAGTTCTTTGCTACTAGAAAAAAAGAGCTGCTATAAATATTTTGTACAAATTCGTTTTCCTCATTTTTGATCTTTTAGGGGTATAGGCCCAGTATTGGTATTGCTATTCAATCAATCCATAAACACTTACTAAGTGTGTACTATGTGCCAGGCACTGTGCTAAGCACTAGGGATACTAAAATAGACAAAAAATAGTCCTTGCTCTCAAGAAACTTACAATCTAATGGGAGAGACAACAAAAGTATGTACAAACCAGCTATATGTAGGATAAATGGGAAATAACTAACAGAGGGAAGGGACTACAATTAAGAGGGATTGGGAAAGGCATTCTTTAGAAGATGGGATTTTAGTTGCAACTTAATGGAAGCCAGGGAGGTCGATAGATTGAGATGAGGAAGAAGAACACTCCAGGCATGGAAGAGAACCAGAGAAAATGCTTGGAGCTGACAGATGGAGTGTCTTGTTTGTATAATAGTAAGGAGGCCAGTGTCACTAAATTGAAGAGTACATGGTGGGGCATAAGTTGTAAGAAGACAGGAAAGAGATTTTATTGAGTGGTGTGTGTGTGTGTGATATGATTGAACTTTGCTTTAGAAAAATCACTTCAGTGACTAAATGGAGGATGGATTGAAATGGGGAGAGACCAACCAGCAGGCTATTATAATAGTTCAGATGTGAGGTGATAAGATCCTAAACCAGAGTAGTGACAGTGTCAGAGGAGAGAAGGGAAAGCATTCAAGAGATGTTGCAAAGATGAAACCAAAGGTCTTGGCAAAAGATTGAATATGGAGGGGGTGAGAGATTATGAGGAGTTGAGGATGACTCCTAGTTTACCAGTCTGAGGGTCTGGGATGATGCCCTCTAGTGTAGTAGAGTAAGTAGAAATGGAGGAAGGTTTAAGGGGAAAAATAATGAATTCTATTTTGAACATGTTGAGTTTAAGATTTGTACTGGAAATAGGCAGAGCCAAGATGGCAGAGAAAAGGCAGGGATTCACCTGAGCTCTCCCCAGAACCCTCCAGATACCTTTAAAAATGACTCATAACAAGCTGTAAAGTGGCAGACCCCATAAAAAGAAGTAAAACAATTTTCCAGCCCAAAACAGCTTAGATGTTCAGCAGGAAAGCTGTGTTGCACCAGGGTGAAAGTAGAGTACAGTCCAGTGCAGGCCAAATCAGCAGACCAGGCCCCAGCAAATCAGGAACAGGCCTTGATGGTGACTGAATCAGTGGCAACAGTGCCATTTCCAGACCTCTCAGCTCACAGACAGTAAGGAGGTCAGACAGCTAGTCAGAAGGAAATTACAAGGGTCTCTTTGCTTGCATTGGGAGCAGGGCTCAGTTACTTTGCCCATAATTGGATCTGGTGGTAGTCCTGGGTCTCAGTCCCAGGGCAAAGAGGTGCACTAGCACATCAGAGCTTGTGGATGCAGGGGAACAGGGACCCTGATCCCAGTTTCAAGGTAGAAAAGAGTGCTTGGGGTCACTCACCAATGCATAGTGCAAGAGAATAGCAAACACAACTCTCCCTAGATCATATCACTTTGGAAGAAGTGAAAACTTACAGAATTACCTCTGAAAATATCTGCACAAAAAACCTGAAACTTGGGACAGTGCCACTTCTGAAGCAGAGCCCCACTTTAGCAGAGAGTTAAAACTCAAGAAATAGGCTGGGAATAAGCAAACAGCAGAAAAGGATCCTCACTATAGAAAGTTAACTGGTGACAGGGAAGATCAAAACACAAACTCGGAAGAAGACAACAAAGTCAAAACTCCTAAACCCAAAGCCTCATAAAAAAAAAATATGAATTGGCTCCAGGCCATGGAAAGCTCTAAAAGGATTTTAAAAATCAAGTAAGAGAAATAGGGGAAAAATTGGGAAGAGTAATGAGAATGATGCAAGAAAATCATGAAAAAAGAGTCAACAACTTGGTAAAGGAGGCACAAAAAAAATACTGAAGAAAACACCACCTTAAAAAACAGAATAGGTCAAAATGGGAAGAGGCACACAAATCCAAAGAAGAGAAGAATACCTTGAAAAGCAGAATTAGCCAAAAGGAAAAAGATATACAAAAATTCACCAAAGAGAAGAATTCGTTTTACACTCTTAGTTCTTAGGTTCTGAAGCTATTGAAAATAATCCAGGTATATCATTCAAAATACCTCTAACTTGCCCTTCTCCATAGGAATTCTATCTCTTTGACATGTGCTGTAGATAGGACATTTCCTGAATGAATGCCTGTGGTTAATGTCCAGTGAGTTGTTGGTAATTCAAAGCCACACAGAATATCCTAGAGAATTCATTTCTTCTTGTCTTATGATATGGTCCTATATTATGTCATGATATATTAATGACCTCCCTATAGCATGATATACAAGGAAACACTAATGGCCTGCATAGTTCCTATTGATCTAAAATGCTGTCAGGCAAAATAAAAGCTGGAAGGTTAGAATTAACAGTCCTTTTTAGAATTTAATGAGAATGCCATTTTTTCCATTAAATTATTGGAATATTTATATCTTTAATTCATTGTTACATTTTTGTCAGTTGCTTGTTTTATTTGTATACTTGTAATAATATGTCAAATCTATAGTCTGAATATTACCAGTGACAAGGAAGAATAATTAGCACAATTGAGCTAGTTTCTGCTTAAACATAAATGACAAAAAGAGATTCTGTTTTAAGTGCTCTGTAAGTGACCATAATTACATTTGTATTATTATGTTTGAAAAGTATGTGTGTGTATGTAAGGTGAATTTTGTTACTCATTTTTCAATAATAGTTCCCAGGATCCTAGATAATAGTTCCCAGGATCCATGACTATAAACAATTTCTACTGTAACTGCACAGTGAGATAGAATGATGAGAAAATGTAAACATTTGACTTTAGTTGTAAACAGTATACTGTGCCTGTGCTATGCTGATTCACCATGATATTGCTAAAGTTAATGTACACTTGTGAGGCTATTGCTGGCAAAATGCCTTCTTTTGTGCTCCTCTGTAAATCAAGTGAGCATTGGCCAGTAAGTTGGGATTTGGGGAATATGCCAGCTGAAAGCTGCATATACCTTGACCTGTCCCCATCAAGGCTTGGGGGAAATGTGATAGTGTAATGCTGTGCTTGTCTCAACTGGCTCCCATTGAGGCTTAGGGGGAATGCACAAACTGGAATGCTATGCCTGTCTCAATTGGCCCCCATCAAGACTTAGAGGATGTTGTAAGACTTGGAGCTCCTACCCGCCTATTCTCACCCATCCCTTCGAGAAGATAATTAGGGGAAGCTGTAGGAGTTGGTGCTCCTATTATCAGCAACCCCATTGAGAAGAAGAGAAAATAAATTATTTAACCCCTTGTTATGTCTACTTGCCTGTCCTTCTGGCTGTCCAGATCAAGAGTGAACCTATTAGAGGCTGGAGCCCAAAAGCTCCAGTGGTACCTCCTGCCTAATAATGTGTTTCATTTAAATTTTTTAATATTTTATTTTTTCCAATTAGATGTGAAAACTTTTAACATTCATTTTTTAAAATTTTGAGTTCTAAATTCTCTCTTCCCCTTCCTTCCCTAACCCCTCCCTAAGATGGCAAGCAAACATATTTACCCATTAGTCATGTTGTGCAAAAAAACACAGACAAAAAACCCCACAGAAAGTAAAGAAAGTAAAAAATGATATGCTTCAATCTGCATTCAGAATCTATCAGTTCTCTCTCTGGAGATGGATAGTATTTTACATCATAAGTCCTTCAGACTTATCTTAGATCTTTGTATTGCTGGAAATAACTAAGTCATTCACAGTTGATCATCATACAATATTGTTTTTACTGCATACTATGTTCTCCTGGTTCTGCTTACTTTACGTTGCATCAGTTCCTGTAAGTCTTTCCATGTTTTTCTGAGAGCATCCTGTTCATCATTTCTTATAGCACAATAGTATTCCATCACAATCATACACCACAACTTTTTCAGCCATTCTCAATTTCCAATTCTTTGCCACTGAAAAAAGAGCTGATATAAATATTATTGCACATTTAGGTCCTTTTCCTTTTAAAAAAAATCTCTTCGGGATAGAGACCTAGTAGTGGTATTGCTGGGTTAAAGGGTATGCATGATTTTAGAGCCCTTTGGGCATAGTTCCAAAATTGCTCTCCAGATTGGTTGGATCAGTTCACAACTCCACCACCAGTGCATTAGTATGCCAATTTTCCCACATCTTCTCCAACATTTGTCATTCATGTGTGTATTTCAGATGGAAATATAAGCACTGTCTTGGCATTACCAAGGAAAGCGGGATATTAGAGATGGATACCTGCTGGTATAGGCAGATTCCCACCATTTTCCCCCTCCTAAATCCTTTGGGGAATTGACCATAACCTGGGGACTAGTGGGAAGGCTTTGATGTGACTAATAGATCTGACCTCCCAGCCTAGAG